GTAACTTGTTATGGGGCAGGATTTGCTAAAACCCTACATAGGTCTGTGCTAAACTCTACATGAGTCTGTGCATATCCTCAGTGGGTATGATACAGGCTTTACTGGGTTTTTAAAATGTTCAGTTTTCTTTGTTTACTGTATTAGTACTATGTATAATTACATTCACTTGCATTTTGTGAAGCTCATTCTTTTTTATTCTATTCTAAACTTTTAAGAAAAAAGAAAAAAGATCCAAATCGAAAAAATCCAGTGTGAGAAATCCTCCTTATTGGAACCAAAGCTATTTCAGAAAGAGTACTAAAAATAAACATATTTTAACATATATCTCTCTAGAACAGGTCCTCTGTTTTAATTTTATAGTTTGTAACGTGTCAGGATCACATTAAGCTCTGAGTGGACACCCTCTTAAAATTATTGCTGGTATATCTGTTATAGAGATCCAAATGAAAAACCAAATGCATTAACGGTGCAGTGCATTTAAGCATTTACAAAACTTTCAACAAAGTGTCCTGCACAGGAGGAGACTTGCATTGAGAGCCCTGTGGGCGCTCCTGCGAGATTGTCAGTGAAGGTTTGGAACCGTAAATGTTAATGATTTGTTTTCTGCTTTCAGCATAAATAAATACTTAATACTAGGAAGAATAGGAGAAAGGGCAGTTAAGAAATATTATTTCATATTTATTCTCACCAGCCTCGTGCCCCTAACACATTCACAAAATGATTGATCTATGAAAGCAAATAAGATTCTGAATCAAATACCTATAGGTGCAGTTTTATCCTGAGAGGTGTCTGTATACTGAGAAGTGCTCCCCTTTTTTCTCTATCAAGTTTAATCCTGTTTCTCTCTGTGCTTCTACTGGGACTTTAAAAAAAATTGAGGCAATGGCCCTTCCCCCACTTTGTTTTTGAACAAATTGTGACTCTTAGCAGAGCAAAATTTATATGCTCTTGGCTTGAGAGATTGTTACAAAAGCTGGCCAAGCTGGCAATGATAACCCAAGTAAGGCATGGAAGATTTAAGAGGCAGGGTCAATGAATGCATTGGGGCTAAATTTATGCTTTTTATTCAAGACTTGTATGGCAGGAAAAATGCACCGTCTCAGATAACTTCTGCAGCAACATTGTATGCTCCAGACTATAACAAGAATTGAAATGAGCATCTTCGGTTTTGTTTGCATTTAATCAAAGGAGGATGTCACTGTAGCACTCTCACATACTAAACTGCTCGTGCTGATTCAAGCACATCTGTGGTTAACTATTATTACCTGATGAACATTTTTGTTGTAATCAGGTTGTAATGGTAGAGGCACTTCAAGACATCTCAATCTGTGGTTTTGCAAATCCTCCTGTGGTGTGGGGCAAGCACTTTAACAGCACATATAAATTAATTGCTATGTGGACTGGATGATTTACCAAGGTGCACACAGGCTGTATCCAAGATCCACAAATTGTGGGATGCTGTGTTCATCTATCTCTAAATGTTTTGGTGGTAGACAAAGGAAACAAATAGACTTAAGGTCTTTCATCCAATTTGCTATACATTTTAAGTATGTGTCAACATGCCCATCATTTTGAATTTGCACTGTGGATAATGATTTATTTTATAATACACAAATACCTTGAAATCACTCTTTAAAATACAGTAACAGTATTGGGAGTTTTCCATGGGAACAGTCCACCTCCTTATCAATTATATATTGCTTCAAATTACTCATTCATTATTCTTTTGTAGGTCACAAGCTAATTACTACATGTTAATAATTTACATTTATATAGTATTTTTCAGGTCTCAATGTGTTCTACAGGCTGTATTTAGAGATCACTCACCTGCTACTAAAATGCAGCTATTCCTCAGGTGGAATATGACAGCTTTTTAATAGCACACAGCTACAGTGCAGAACAGTTTAGGACACTAATTGAAAAATATTGTATCCATTTGGAATTGCAGAGGAAATATATAGGTAAGCAGACTGTAATTACCCGAAGTGGAATTGGCCCAAGACCTTAAATCCATAATCTTGCAAAAAGCACAAGGGGATTTTTAATGACTACACATGATCAGACTTCATTTTCTTGTCTCATCCAGAAGACAGCATCTCCAGCAGCACCAGCCCTCTTCTACCACGCAAAGGCATCAGTTCTGTAGTGGTTCAAAACTGTTGACTTCTGTGTCCAAAGGCAGTACTGTTGCTATACTTTGGGTTGTTACTTAATGGGTTCATCCAAAACTGAGTATTCACAAAGCCATAATATACTTTTCTTTTTAAAGGTGACATACCAACATGATAGGGCTCCACATCTAAAGCAGTAATTCGATTTTAAAGGTTGAAAATCTTCATATATTTGTCCTGTAATTGCACGATAATTTCTGTGTAATTACAATACTATTCCTTTATAGTAAAAGAATCTCATTTACGTTATGCATGAGAAGTACTCGTAGACCTTTGGCATGTTGTAAATAAAGTGCTTCTGTCTTCTGGAATAAACTTCTATACCAAATAGAAGCTTGTGCAGCTACACAGTCCAAACCAAAAATTTAAAGTGTTAGTGGCTCAGAGATTAATTTTAAGATGCTTTGTCTGTCAGTATTTACCAATGTATAAAGTTCTACTTTCCTCTTTTCAGATGTTCTCTGTGATGTTCAGTGCAAGAGCATTAATCATTAAAAAGTACTAATGCGGATGTCATCTGCACTTCTATAGAAAGTTATTGTCAGAAAATTCATTCTAATTCAAGGTTAATTAGTGTTGCATTAAAATAATGTGTTACAAAAATAATTACTTGCCAGGTCAAAAAGTGTGCTAAAATGCTTAATGCCTAATGCCTGTGATTGCATTTCCGTACTCAAAATAATGTTCTACATCCGCCACCCCACTGAAAAATATCCAACATGAAAAGTGAGAATGAGATTGTCACAGGTGTCTTCCTGCCCCGCCTCTAAATTTTGGCACAGTGGCTTGGAAATTTGGCATACAGTTCCTATTAATAGATTAATGATTTACTTACCTTGTTCAACACTACAGTGTTAGAGGATATATGACAAGGCATAGCCTGATTTAAGTTTAGAAGGATTGCAGATATTTGGATAGCACATTGGAAAATACAAATTGGTATGAAAATATTAGAGGTTACATTATGATTTCTAGCTTTTTGGTGATGTGAGTTCTAAAGAAATTTTGCAAACATGTCAAACACTAGATTAAATCTAGAGAAATGTATGTTAACAGGTATCTTAAATGAACAGCTATAAAGTGTACATGTTATTTTAGAACTACAGATGATTGACAAGCTAGAACAACTTCTATCTACAAATGTTTCTTGCTTACGTTTTTTTAAATGAAGAGATAATATATAAAATCTACTGTAATTCATAGGAAATGTTTTAGAGCTACTCACTGAAAGTTTCTCTTACCATCTGTATTGGATAAACTGGACTCTGCATGTACATAAGAGGATAACTAGTTCCAATTTTAGTGTACAGTGTAGTTGCCACAATATAACATGTGACACTGTGACAGTAGAACTGTACTGTGGTCTCCAGCTACATTAAAATAGTTGTCAGGCTTGGACATTCATTTAGACCTGTGTGAGGAGAGAGAAGTCAAAACTGAGCTTGTATGCCCAAGACTTCACAGCCATTCCCTCTCCTCTTTACAGTGCAAAGGCAAAACTCCCTATTACCCCCCCACACTTTGGAAATGTTCTGAACTGGAAGCAAACTTTGTGGTATAAGCTCACCTTTAGCAGGGGTGATGGGATGAAAAAAGATGGTAAAATTGCAACGAGTGGGTGTGTACTATCATATCTTTTTAAGGGGGGCCTGTATAGGATATTTGTACATCAGAATCTTCTGCCCACCCCCGCTCCCCAAGACATCTTTTGCTTGATCATTTGAAGGTTTTTGCAGGCTGAGAGGGGTGTCAAACATCCTACAAAAGGCAATGAGGATATTTTATAAGATTTTTAAATTGCTGGATGCCCTTCTTTTCAGACATACATTTTTTCCCAAAGAGGCTCTCCTTTAATTAAGTGAATTAAGATGTAAATCAAGGGAAGAGTTTGAATGAGAGAGAAAGGGGAAAAAAGGCTTTCTTGAGGCATTCTTTGCTCTAATGCCATCTTTTACCCCAGCTTCTATCTGCTTAATCCCTGCTAAAATTGGCATAAAGCAGGGATTTGAGTTTAATGTGGAAAAAAACATTCCATCCTCTGAACATGACAGCCTCACCCTCCCCACAGCAGGGTGTTAAGCTGTTTTGTCAATCAGCCCTCAGAACAGCACTTAGCTACTTATTTCCAATGTCCTTGACAGATAGGTAGAACTAAACTTCTACTAGTGATCACAGCCTCAGTAATCTGGAGGGTGGAATCATTGCAATTTTTTCTGGGAGTGCATTCAGTGACTTCATATGCAGAACAGTTTGGGAAAGGGATTGGGAAGGATTGTGTAGTCAACAACAGCAAGGTTTGAATGACTTTTTCACATTTGATGCTATTTTATTTACTCAAATCTTAGTGACCTAAGCTGAGAGTTTCAAAGCTGCTATGGGATTTGGACATCCACTTTGCACTAATTTTGATAGAGAATCCAGAGTCCAAATGCCTCAGACATCTCTGAAGACCTTAGCCTTACCATTTGAAACCCTGCTGCCATTAAATTAGTGGTATCAAGTAAAACCCTAAACCTAGAAAGCAAGGCAAAAGCCATGTTTTGTTTCCTATTTTATATTCACCCTTTAACTCTCATGGATTTCAGTTGAAGTTTTAGGTGCTGAATGATTGCAGCATCAGGGTATATGTCAGTCTTCTAACATGGATTTAAGTTCCTGGTTTTGCTGTATAAAAATATGGGTATGGCATGTTGTAGACCAGTCTTAATGTGCTTTTTTTAAATGTTCAGTATTTAGTTGTTTGTGACATCTAGAGTTCCCATTATAGGATGTTGAACTCTCTATGATCGTTTCAGCTGACTTTGTTCATTTTCTTGTGGATATTTCTAGGGCAGGGCTCTGCTCCATTGGGCTTGTGACAGAGGACACAAGGAGCTGGTCTCGGTACTGCTGCATCATGCAGCTGATGTTAACAGCCAGGTAAGCAATGAATGGAAGATAGTGCTGAGAGGATACAGTATAGTGTTGTCTCTTTACAAAACACTTTATACTAAAGTATGAACCCCTTGAGATACCAGAGTAAATTTTTTCAGTGCATTTCTTATGAAGGGGGCCACCTAACATGAGACACATGAAAAGAGAACAGTTCCATTAGAAATTGCCATCAAAGCAAATAGGGGGCACCTATACACATCAGATGTCTGCTAGAACGCATGCTAATCAATACACATTGGAGCAGACTCAATTAATTGAGTCTGCGGGAGGGTGTTAATTAACGCATTCCAGAAACCTCCATGTCACATCTATTCAGTGTCCCTGCGCTTCAAAATGGCGGAGAGGGCGCTTGAATGAAAGCTTGTTGAACGAGCTTTCATTCATGCACCTCTGCCACCATTTTGAAGCATGGGATGCTGAATACACATGATGCTGTGCGCACTTCAATTAGAGCTGCTCTAAGGGCCCCCTTCCACCCTGGAGTACATGTATAGACACCTACAGATATGAAATGAGCCTTGTAGTTTACAATGAAACGTCTTCCTGCAGTGCAGTCTTTTCATCTATTGGTTATTAATTTACATCTGACTTCCAGTATTAATGTTCAGAGATATTTCCTACCTACTTGATGTTTTGTAGTTGTTATACACAATAAATTAGTTTCCTCTGTCAACTTTTTAAGCATCCTTTCATCTCCATAGATCATTCAAAGACTTCACAGTGATAGAAACAAAATTCCATCACTGGAAGAAACTTCTGTTTGCCAAACAATAAAGCATAATAGAAAATTAACGTATTAGTAAAAGCACTTTTTAAACAAAGTGTCTTGGGTTGGGTCAGTCTATGCTTTGGATGTCAGTGTTGTTGACAAGTGGCAGAATAGGATCTTAGTGTAGACTGGACACGTTACACGGTAGCAATTAATGGCTGAGCCTTGCTACCTGTGATCAGGTTCAGAAATAGTCAAACATTGTTATGCTGGAACTATGATTGATAGTTTTTTAAAACAGCTCTTGCTTGCATTTCTTCCTTGTCCAGTATAGTAGATAGATATGTGGGTGTATGTTCATGATTCACAGGGTTCTGTTATATAGCATAGTTGAAGATTTTTTTCAAAGAGGGACCAATATTTATTTGAATGATGCAGGATTTGTCTGTGGCTTTTTGTTTCACAGTGAGAATAGATACCCACCCACCAGTTTACTGTCCAGTTAGGTTGTGATTGTTCATAAACACTGTTGTCTTGAGGCCAGCAGAAATGGTATCGCACATCTGCCTATTTTTGCTGAGGTCTCAGGTGAATGTGTTCTGCTTGGATTACAAAAATATCAAACTGAAAATTAACCTCTTTGTTATGTTTGTATCTCATTTCTCTAGTTATAAAAATCTGACTTTGAGAAGACGGGACTTAGGGGAGATGAACTTTATTTTTTCTGTACATTCATTTTCAATTAAATTTTCTCTCGCTCTCGCTCTTTCTTTTTGATGTATTGCTGTTTTCTAACCAGATTATTTTTGGCCAGTAACAAAAGGTTAATAATAGCTATAAAAAGAAAATCAATCTTTGATTTTTTTTCCACCAAAGTAATAAAGGAGACTTTTTTTTTTTTTTTTTTAAAGGTCTTGGTTTGCACACAGATGTATTCCCAGAGAAGGCAGACAATTTTTTGGTTGGTCGGTCAATCTATCTCTCTCACTTTCTTTTTTTTTCCCATCCTCCTCAGTCATATATAAATTGTAATAATATTTCCAAGATTTCCTGACCCAGCATTTATTTTTTAAGCTTTTTTTTTATCTTGACCTCTGTCATGAAGGAGATAATATCCCAAACCCAGAATTGAGAATTTTTTTAAGTTTAACCAAAAGGAAGTAAGAGTGGGGAAAAAATAGCTTCCAAATAGGTCATAAACACTCAAAAAGCTCCGCGTGCGTGTGTGTGTGTACACCAAATGTTTTATCAGTTAATGTGTGGGATTCTAAAGAATTGGGGGTTAAGCATAAGAGAATCATTAATGGCTTGAATTAGTGGAACTACTGTTTTAATCAGTTGCCTTCCCTAAGAGTTTATATTTCAGTGTAGGCACAGCGGTCAGTCTGCCAAGGGGACAGTTCTGTAATAAACCTCCACTGTACATGTTGTCAGGTGTTTCATTCACTCATGAAGCACAACTGAAATAAAGGCAACATCAATGATAAAATATAGATTAGGAACCATGAGAGTGACAACAACTGATAGCAGAGTGGGAAACATGGGATTTTAAGGAGGTGATTGGTGTCCAGTGAAAAGCCGTGTCCATTCAGTTGTTTGAGTATGCATAATTACCTTTACAGTAAGTTTGAAAAGAAGTGGTAAGTGATCACAATAGGAAAGGAGATGCAAAAACGCAACTAATTTCTTTGCTTTTTTTGAAAAGGGACCTTTATATAATCAAATTACCTAAATGCTCAGAGCCAGAGGCCACTTCTAAGTGGGTGGTTGTGTGGTGTTTTGGAACTGTGCTGGAAACACCCTCAGAAATCTGTCTAAGGACAGCTTTGTAGTGCTGTTTTTAGGCTGGAAAGATTTAGGCTAGAAATGTCTCTCTCAAACAGCATAACGAAGGAAGGGACACCTGTTCTTAACGGTGCGATTGTCCAGGAGGTGAGACCACATGATCATTATGGTCTTTTCTGGCCTTACAATGTTTGAATATATGAATCTGTAAATGCACTGTATTCTTCTTTATCTGCAAGTAACACAAAGTGTTCTTTTTCTAACAAAACCCGATTGCCATGTAAGCCACAAAAGTGCCTTATCCTTGTACAGTATTATTGTTTGTAGAATGTCTTATTTCCAGTACTGAGATTCTCAGCCTGAGGGTTGCAAGCAAGGTGCAGGAGGTTGCAGCTACCCCAACTAGGAGGGGGAAAGCTGATGAAATTGGGAGACTAGACTTGGGAAAGTCCTTGAATGTATGGGAAAGATTGAGAATCACTCTTCAATGAGATATGTATGGGAATGTTTAGAAAATGTAGATTCTGTATGTATGAAGCCTCTGTGCCTGAGGTCATACCTGATTTTGCCATTATTCATGTAGAGCAATATAGGAGGCATATAGGAATTACTGCTGTTTGTTTTCAAGAAGATTAGGTAAACACTGATCTAATAATCGGCCAAATGATATAGAGAGTATGACAAGCAGCTCTGTGCTTGAATTATAAATACAATAAAAATGGGGAATGTGTTGTTCAGCTGATAAGACTTTACTGGGCAAATATTCCTTATATACTTTTCTGAGAAAATGTAGTGTACAGCTGTACTGTGAAAATAGTAATTTATAGACTCACCTTCTAGGCTTCCAGTTTGGTTTCTCTATAAACTGTCTCCTCTAATGGAGTGAAGAGGTCATTCTCATGTCCAGATTGTTAAGACTGATGTTTTATACTTATATTCCAATTTTCATATGCTGATGACTTCCCAAAGCGTGCATCCATCTTCTAAGTTGAAATCTTCATCTTTATCTTCTGCACAAAGGTTAATTTTAAGTTAAGTATGTGAAAATTCTAAGTGAAGTCCTTTAGATTGACTGTGAGCCTGGCAAGTGTAAAAACCACATCGTTCTTGCTTAAGAAAAGTCAGTCAGTAATGCATTTTAGGAAGTAGTATGGCAGTGCTGATTGGCTTGGAGTGTGAAACTTGGTATTGGACCTTCACTTTTGCCGTAATGCTACAGTATTTACAGTCTTTATCATTTGTGTTTCTTTATAGTGGCTTCAATTTCCCAGAATTCTAACTTATTTAAAATTGCAATATTTTCAATATAAAATATTTTGTACACTTAATCACATATAGTTGATGAATGCACAGCACATAAAGACCTTGGTTTTCAGGACTGTTTTTATATACCTGAAATTTTATAACTTTAAAACTATTGAACATATTTTCCTGAAAATTCACTTTCTGATGGATCTCACTGAGATGTAAAACCATGCCAAACTTGAATAATATCAATTAATTTGATTTTAAACTCTGTGAGCATTTGTTTATTGTGTCGATACAGCAGAGCAATGATAGCCATGGGAATGCATAGAATCATAAAAAGTTAGGGGTGGAAGGGACCTCAGGAGGTCATCTAGTCCAACCCCCTTCTCAAAGCAGCGCCACCCCCAACTAGATCATCCCAGCCAAGGGTTTGTCTAGCTGGGTCTTAAAAACCTCCAAGGATGGAGTTTCCACAACCTCCCTGGGTAGCCTGTTCCAGTGCTCTACTACCTTACCAGTGGCAAAGTTCTTTCTAATATCTAACCTAAACTTCCCTTGTTGCAACTTGAGACCATTGCTCCTTGTTCTGTCATCTGCCATCACTGAGAACAGTCTAGCTCCATCCTCTTTGGAACCACCCTTCAGGTAGTTGAAGACTGCTATTACATCCCCTCTGTCTTCTGTTCTCTAGACTGAATAAGCCCAATTCCCTCAGCCTCTCCTCGTAAGTCATGTGCCCCATCCCCCTTACCATTTCCGTTTTCTTCTGCTGGACTTTCTGCAATTTGTTCACATCCTTTCTGTAGGAGGGCCCAAAATTGGACTCAGTGCTCCAGATGTGGCCTCACCAGTGTTGAATAGAAGGGAATAATCACTTCCCTTGATCTGCTGGCAGCATCCCTACCAGTGCAGCCCACTACGCTTTTAGCCTTCTTGGCAACAAGGGCACACTGTTAGCTCATTCAACTTTTTGTCCACTGTAACCACCAGGTCCTTTTTTGCAGAGCTGCTGCCCAGCCAGTTAGCCCCCAGCCTGTACTGGTGCATGTGATCGTTCCATCCTAAGTGCAGGACTTTGTACTTATTGAACCTCGTGAGATTTCTTTTGGTCCAATCCTCCATTTTGCTAGGTCTCTCTGAATCCTAACCCTACCCTCCAGCATATCTACTACTTCCAACAGTTTGGTGTCATCTGCAGACTTGCTGAGGGTGTACTCTGTACCATCTTCCAGGTAATTGATGA